TTGAAATACGTTTTCACACAATTTCTTTAATTTGCTTGGGATGTAGCGGGGCGGGGCCGGGCCTGTCTTCTCCCCTTCCTCGCGGCTATATGAGGTGCGCTACGAGCTCAGCTGCTCTGCGGCTCTCTCTCGGATCGGCGCGGGAGATTCGCAGCCTACGCGGAATGGCCGCAGTGGAAATTTCGCGGCTGTGTTGCACGTTCAGACCTGCGCGGCGGGCGAGCGTCGCGGCAGCGGATCCGCAGCGCTTTCTTACTTGTGGATTTGGGAACGCAGTCGGACGAGTTTCGACAGTTGTCGCTCGAGTTTCGTGTAAGTCCACCTGCCTTGGGGAGTTTTCTCTCCCCTCTGGATCGAGCTCCCTTTGTTTATCGGATGAGGACCAAACTGCCACCAAACGCTGAGTCGTCATTGACGTTCCGGTGTGAACGGTCTCGCGGATTCCGCCACAGCGTCAAGAGCGGAGCGTTTCGCGCCCACCCGCTGCGGATCCCCCTCGCCGCTCTGTGAGCTCTGTGACCGGCCAGCAGAAAGAACTTGTTAGACCGAACACCGCCAGCGCTTTTCCCCGATGAGATACGCGGGCAGAACTTTCAAGAAATGAGAGCCAGCCAAGAAATGAGAGCCACCAGGATGACAGTTACACTTTGCGGCAGATATTGTATTTGTATTACTTATTCAGTTTAATAAGACACAAGATCTAAAATCCAAATTGTTATGGTTTTGTAATATTTCATCATATTTAAATCCTCAAGGGTGCTCAACATATAATTATTTAGTTGATCGTGCCATTCACCTGCATGATATAATGCACTGACTTTACAAGTTACCGCTCAAATAAATGTTATTTAAATAAGATATTTATTGTGTTGCAAAAGTATATCTATTTTTACTTTTGAGTATACATGCGTATTTTTGTCTCGGAGTAATATACGTACTAGAGAGAAAGTTATGTAATGCTGCGCGAAAAAAACTATCAATTTTCATGTTCAAAATCTAAAATAATCACGGTGTACGTGGTAAAGCATTTATCTTGCATAAATTAGGATTTATTTTTTAACATCCTATAATATCATTTCAATGACAAGTACATCCAAATAATTTGTAGCACATTTTAACTCACGGTATACATAGTATCTAAATTTTAAGAATTGACTGATAGTTTTTATATTTATGAAATTCATTTGGAAGTTATTAATTTTTTGATTAACTATGTGTATTTTGCCAATTAGAACTCAGAGAATGTATACTAACTTGAATATTTTTCCTCACAGAAAACGTTTAACTCAGTGTGAATATTTTCCAAGGTTGTATAGTCAGTACAAACCAAATCCAGCATGTTGCTACTAGACCCAGAACTGAACACGATCCTTGAAATGACAGGCCTCACGAAGGGTTAATTATCTAGATGTGTGACTTCTACAAGAGGTGTAGAAACAAAAGATGTGAATTTGTAAAATTATCTATGTATCGGAGGATATTTAACGATTTTAATTTGGAGTTCTTACAGCGAAAAGCAGAAATTAAATAAAAATGTCAATATCATTGAGACCTAAAATAAGATTTGTACTAGAATGTAAGCACATTCCTTAAAATTTATTAAAATACATTAAATGATAGTTACATAAATATATGCAATTATTGAATTAGTTAAATTTTCCTAACATCAAAGATACCACCTTTTTGCTCAAACTTGAGCATATTGAGAGTAACAAGTTTTTTATCTGTAAAAATAGGGTCTTGGTTTCTACCAAAGTTACAATGCTTTTAGAACAATTAAGTCTCCAGTTTTGTGCTGGGATGACAAGTGCAATGACAAGTTTGCTTACATTTTATAAGCAATATATTTTATACAATTATATGCAAGTTTGAATACATTTTATAACATATATTTTGTTTCAGAGAGGGCCTTGTGTATGGGTAGTATTGTAACATTTTGATCTAACAAACGCTTAATTCAAGGTGTGAATAAACAAATAGTTCATAGTCAAATTTATATGACAGAAATTAACCTTTTTGCCCCTTGTTTAAACATAATTAGAGGTTATTGCCCTTCCACAGTACTCTAATGGGTGGGTCTGCATTGTGGAAACATTTTTAGCTAATGTTGACAAGCACTTAATTAAAGGGCTATATCAACAAATAGTACATAAAATATGGATAATGTAAAAAGGAAACTGAGGTCTGTTTGCTTGTATAAGAAGTATTAGACGTTGATTGTCGTGCCGCAGTGCGCTCTTGAGCGATAGGGTTTACATAGTGGGAATATTTTAAAGTTACGTAGCCGAGCACTAATTTCCAGGCTGCTGTCACCAAATATTAACAAATGTGATGCATATTAGGTCAGAAATAAACTGTTCTGTTCGCTAGTTTAAAAATTATTAGACCATGAATGCGTGGCACTGTGGAACTCAAGGAATTGGGTTTTTATTGTCGGAACATCATTAGCTAACGTTGACGAGCGCATAATTCTAGGCTTAAATCGAATACCGCAGTACTATATGAATATATCGTCAGTGCTTTTTTTAAACATCCTTCCGTCTGTGAACAGACCTAGCACCTACACTACTCGTAGTATTTTTTCCAAAATGAATGTTGCCCGGGCGATCTGTGCCGTCTCGAAGCTCTGAAAGTTTGAAAACCTTCATTAAATTTTGGGGATACTTGATATGGAGCCCCTAGGACCTTTTTAACAATTTCTCTAAAATTCTGCCAACTTTATTTAAATTTCTTGTAAGAACTGAGTGAGGTACTCATAAAGGTAGGGTAGGATCCAATTTCCCTGTTAACTCTGAATTTGTGGAAATTAAATCAAAAGTTTGAAATGTTTTCCGAATCTTCATGCGAATACAAAATAGCAAAAAGCGATTTTTTCATCAAATGAAAATTGTTCTCTAGAATTAGTTATTTCAATAAAATTATGTACAGTTTTGTTAAAATTTTAGTTTCCAAGCTTTTGGGTGAAATACGAGCAATATTTTTTTAAAATTATTGAAAAGATAAAAACTCAAGAAATGCTCAAAATTTATTCTTTGAACTGTTTGTAGCCATAGAGCTAATTGCACTGTGAGAGGTGTTGTTATTTTGCTATATACTTTTGTTTGTAAACAATACAAATGTACTTTTTTTGATATCTCGCTCAAGTCGCGAAAAATTCTCCAAATGTTTTCTTTAAATTGGATTTTGTACGGATTATTCTAAATGCATGAAAAACACGACGTAAAGCTACTTTGTTTTATTATTTTTCTCCAAATTTACACATTATTTTCTAAATATACTTAGTTAATATAACTTAATATTCACATCACATACGCCTTTCTTTTACATTATTGTATTTGTGAGTACAAGTGCTTGAAACATGTCCTTCACTCGCACGAGCGTGTATGCGCTTATGCCCTGAGTCACACGAGCTTTGAACTGAAGCGAAATGGTCACAGAAAATAGCTCTGTTCACAATACATTTATTTATAAGATTTTTACAAATATATTCAGCTCCCTACCGCCGTTACTCTCACGCACTATGCCCCCAATCCCCAGGCCAGTGCATCCTCCACCCAGACGCTTGACCGCGCCGGCGCCGGACACCCAGCAATGCACTAGCAGTGCCACGAGGAACACGCCCGTGTTCCGAGCTAGATGTCACGTCCGCACTCGAGGCACTGCGAAAGCGAAGTCCTCTGCCTCATGGGATCTCTGCCTCATTGTGGATTGAGTTTACGGTGTTGCCCCATCCTCTCGCCAGCTGCCATCTATTGCCACCCAAAGAAAATGTTTGTTTTCCTTATAATTTTTCAGTTTCTTATTAGTGGGGCCAACATATTTCTTTAAGAGTGCTACAGAAACCTCGTCGCCTTATATTATGTTATTGGGTACATTTAGCACTATCCCTACCAAAAGTTTAAAGTAAAAATTTGAAAATTACTAAAATTTCCAAAAAAAATGTATATGACCATAATAAAAGAACTAAATATGGAGAACAAAGCTTACTTGAAAGAAAAACATATATTTTGAAGTAGGAAGACGGGAAAAAAATTCAAACTTAAAATTTTCGAAAATTCAAAGTTAACCGTGAAAATTGGGCCTACACCACCTTTATAAGTGTTATAAGTTTTACTATATTCTTAGAAGAAATTTTAAGACAAAATGTGAGTCATTTTTGAGACAATTTTGAAAATGTCCCAAGGGCTTCATGTAAAGTACCCTCAAATTTTAAAGAATGTTTTTTAAAACCACAAAGTTTCGACTCGAGCCAGATGGCCTGTTTTTTTCAAATTGGAAAAAATCTAATGCATAGTTTAGGCGTAAGTGGTGTTCAGACGGACTTTTGAAAAAAAATACTTTTTCGCGGTTTCCGTTGAAATTTCGATATAGCAGCATTACATAACTTTTTCTATACTACGTATATTACTCCAAATTACGTACGTATATGAGAAAGAAAAAAATCAATTGTAATTGATTAAATACTAATTCCAAAATCCAAATACTACTAACCTGTTTCATTGGTAAAATGCACAGCGAAATATCTTAATAGTTTTTTAAGCTTGTCACATGCTAGATTCTTTACTTTTTAGATATATTCTATACTTTTCTCTCACTTTTTTGACGTAAAATACGTGAGACACCTAAGTAGACTCTTTACTAAGAGTTTTAATTGGTGTTTCAGTTGCCTTGAAATTGTACAAATAATAGGCACGTTTACTTGAAATGCATATTTGTAGTAGATTTAGAACAGAAGACTAGTTTTATAAACAACTAATTTAACTGCTTGCCATTTAAGCATTTTTTTAAAACTCTGAGAAACAAAAATTCGGTATATTTTATAAAATAATTACAGAATTTCGATTTGGCCATTTTGAGTGTTGTATTATAATATCGTTTCACTTACAAATATTTAAATAACTTCTACCATAATCAGAAAGCCTTCGTCGGAGAAAGATTTTAGACAATGCAAGGTTAGTGAGGCTTGGGATAGGATATTTGAAGAAGAATGTTACCTTTTACTGCATCTTTGTTTATTATAACTTTTTTCACAAAGGGAACTGACATATAAAGAATTTAATTGTTTGGTTACTCTGCTTTGTTAAGTATCTTCAGTTTCACTGTCATTTTTCTTCGCCTCTTCTGCTAAAGTAAATCCCACACTCACAGCTCCATTATAATCAAGTACAAGAGCCAAACCAACCCTAAAATCAGAAGGGAGGTCAGGATCCTCCAATAATCCAATAGTTCCGTTTCGAGGACCCTTTCCCTGTACAATCTGTACTTCCTCGTATTCCTTTTCTTCCTGTGACGACTGCATGTCTTCCTGCAGTAAATGGAAAAAAAATCCAAATAAAAAGATGTTTAAACGAAATGATGTACTATAAATTGTGTACTTACAGCATTATATTCTTCTACTACATAGAAACTGTTCGTGGGGACGAGACTATAGAGTTTTTCTCTTATTTCCGAGTTCCAAATCGTACTTGTAAAATTTCCATTAGGAGGGAAAACCAGAAGAAGATAAGTTCTAAAAAAGTTGTAAAAAATGATACACATATTAATAGCAGAGAAAATGCAATTTTTAATAATTAATAGATACGTACCCTTTAATACCAGGAAAACCTTCTCCCAATGGCAGCTTTACTCTATTATTATCTAAAACTTTTGGAGCCTGTGTTAAGTTTGGAGTTTCGGGTGAAGTACTGACGGTCAGAAACGCCGAAGGACCAATGGATATGGTTTTTGCAGAAACGCTAATAATATACTTAGATGCTGGCATTAAATCGGTCACCTGAAATGAAGAAAAATGAAAATGCTTAAAAAATCTTCGAAAATTGGACTTGTATCGCACCTAACGCTTTAATTATTTTCAATCACAAATTCCTCTTATTTTTTACTAGCTCAACCCTGAAGACATTGTTTTGTCCTTCTACCTCTCTCCCCCCCGTCTGCGTATATCTCCCTCCACCTCTCTTCGTTTCTCTTACTCTTTTGCTCTCCCTCTTGTTCTCTCTCTCCCCTCTCTCCCCTCTCTTATTTAGTTGCAGATTCTGCACATCTCTGAGAAGGTGGGTTAATATTGAAAAGCGTCGGTCCACCAAAAATGTAATAGAATGTTCAAGAAGATCACATCTTGAATATTAAGGTGTGAGAAATGTTTCTTTGAGGCCTTTAGTCACAAAATTTTAGTTTTTAATACTTTAGTGCGCTTCGTTTAGGGGTTATTTAACGATAAAGCGTAATAAATATTGCCGTGTTGCGGGTTGCATTTGACAGGAATATTTAGTTTGGTTCTTTGTCCTTTTTTGGTGAATTTTTTCAATATTTTAATAGTTATTCTGTTCTTCTGGGAGAAGATGAATCCAACAAGTTATAGATAATTAAAATTGGTTCAGCCGTTCTTGAGTTATGAATTGTGTAATTAACACAACTTCACGCAACGCGCACACGCAAGAAAAAAATCCTCTAAGACGTTTCGTAGACAGATTTGATATTAATCTTTGCAAATTTGTTGAAAGATTCTATTTGGCCTTACTGAAGTTTGAATGATGTGGATTGTGTGGCAGTTATTCGATTGCGTTCTTGTTTAAATTTGTTAGTGCAACGTTTTTGTAATGTAAATATAAATTGTATATTGTGTAAATCAATTTATTTTTTTTCAGATTGTGTAATTTCATTTTGATTGTGTTTTTTCATGGTGATTATTATGTGAAATGATCATTTAGTATTGAAATTCAGTGAAGAAACTACCATTTTTTGTTATTATTATTATTATTATTATTATTATAATTTTTATTATTATTATTATTATTATTATTATTATTATTTCGTGGAAAGAATGTATCCTATCTGTGTTAAAACTTAATACGTACTCGAGATTGTTCCAAATCGAAAGACGATCCCATACTCTGTGCTGCAGATAAAATATATATTTTAAGTCGTGAGAGACATATTTAACAAATTCGGATGCCACCTATCCAGCAACGTTTTTCATTTGCTTGAGTCACCTGTTCAGGACCCAGACAATAGAGGAAGTAACGAAGGTGACATAATGACTCACATTTCCTTTGTGTATAAAATTAATATGTTCAGACATTTCTTCAATGAAGTTAATTTGTTGCATATTAAAACTTTAAATTTAAATATTTGTAAGTATTTTTAAATAAAAACCAGGAAATAAATCGTTAATACCAATTGTTTTTGCTTGAACACATTGCAGGAATTTTGAGTACACGAACCAGATATATTTAACTCATATTTATCTAATTATAACCTAATATTTCTACTAAAGATATTGCGTTTAAAACTCTTATTTTCTCATAGTTCCCTTACTTTACCTCATATAAGCAAATGTGATAGCATTTCATATTTGAAGAAATGTAAAATGTGTTTCTCATTTTTCTCGAAACTTGACTTACGGTTATATCAGGTTCTTGCACTCAGATCTTCAATTGCAGAAGTAGAAAATGAATACAATGAACTGACTTTGTGGAGTTTTAATCTTCTCAATAATTAGGGAACCAAAATATGGTAGTGTTAATCAAATTAGGAGAACACTCAAATGTAATTGTGGAAGATTTTGCGACAGAATTTTCAGATTAATTGGGAATGATCATCTTAGAGAATAACGCTAAAGATCTGAATACAGATGATTTTTTTGTGTGTTTTCTAGTGCATATTACCAAAAACGTAAAAAAAATGTAACTGTACAAAATTCTAATTATTCAGTATTACTCATACCTGCAAGTAATTTTTATGGCGTTTATAATTTTGAAATTGTAAGATTTCCAGTTCATATCTCCCACGGAGGTAACCTAAAGGGTCATTGGGTATTGGGAATTGGGTACAGGAGTAAAACATTATTTGCTACTGCAATTGACTGGTATATCCAATTCTAGAGACTAGTCAGTGTCTGGACTACTTGCAATAGAACTATGATCATCAGTTTCTAGGCGTAGTAAGTTATTTGATTGGCATTAATTGTGTCAGATTATTAGAACTATCCTTTATTTGCGTTGTGTAGCCAGAATTAAATCTGAAGTAGGGTGTTTCATTTGCCTCTACACGACAGTTTTGACTTGTCTTGCAGTATCGTATTTAGAAATAAGAGTGTAGTAAGAAAGAAATCTTTAGCTTCAATATCTAGTTACAATTATTGATCTTTATTTTTTAAGTACGTAATAGACGAGAAAAAAAAATGAGACTAAATGTTAAAGATTACATAAAAACAGATGATGATAATATTTCGACTTTTCTTACCCATTCTAAATGTTGAGAAACTGATTTGATTTACCTTATGTTCGTAATATCTGTCCTCACTCTTTACGGGAACTTCTAGTAGAGGTGAATACACGCAACAACTCGAGGAATTTGCTGAATCCAGTTGTTCGACGTTAATGAGAAAAGATCTGAGAATTCCATTAAATATGTCTGGTGGTCCCCACTTCAGAGTAATCGAATCGGATGTTCTTGAAGACACGAATAATGATGTAGGTGCCTCGGGAACTGAAAAAAATTAATAATTCAGAATTGTGCACTAAACATTACTATTAACTCAGATTTCTCAGCGTGGCTTAGTGGTATACATCTTTAAACTAGTGGTGCTAAACCAGCACGTACTTTCTCGTTTTTGGTAATGGTTATGTAATACTTTTCACACCACAACTTCTCTCCTAATTAATGAATCTAGGTCATCATTATTGTACACCTCATTAGAAATCCTAGGTGCGGAAATTAAATAGTCGTCTCGAGCAATTGATTTTTTAATTCAAAACATTAAATGAAAATATATTTCAGTCGTTGAATTTATTGTATAAGGTATGCAGTGGACTAACAAACATAGCCGATACGTATTTTAGCCTTACAATATTCTGCATAAGCAGTATGCGAAAATATAAAGTAATTAAAAGTTAATAAATAATACGATTCACCAGCGGCGGTGGTGGTGGCAGCGGCAGCGGTTTACGCTACAGTGATATGCTTTAATCAACACCACTTAGATACTAGGTGGTGTTGCTTTAACGCGTTGAATGCCGGTTCAAATTTCAATGACAGCATCGGAATTGTCTTTGGGGGTGTAATAGAGTGGCTCACAAGGAATTTACAGGTACGTTTGGTTCGGCCTTATCACCAAACTTGTAAACATAACATACAATACATAAACATTACAATATAAAATTAAAAATACAAAATTTTTGCAAATTAATGCTTTTCATTAAAAAGCTATGTAAACTATAGAACAAAGATAAGAGTATTAATCATTTGTAAAAAGTATTGAAACATTCCAGACACAATTGAGGCTTATTTGGAAAGTTATCACAGAAAGTGTATATCATTTTTGAATGTTTCCTCCCTTTTTCTCGATTTTTTCTCTTTTTAAGCTTCACACTTCAGAGTGAATATTTTCTTCATATTTTTTTTTCTGATTTCATTCTCGTAGCTAAAATATGAGTCTCAATACTACTTCGTTTAGGTAGTGCAGAAGAGTGACGTATTTTTGTCCCCAAGTTTGAGAAGTTGCTTCTTTGTCGAAATTTTATGCAAGGACCATGCGTTCACGACCGCTCTTCCCAATATTAATTCTATTCCATGCTTTCTTGCAATTTTACTCAGTTCAGAAAGTTGTAGGACCTTAGGACCCCATCTGATCTGACAGATCAATCCCAAGTTTGCCTTTATTATAAGCAATGACTGTAATTGGCTTCTCCCGTTAGCTGTTTCTGTCGCCTTTTTCTTCAGAACTAATTTTGTCTGAAGTCCGCCTCACACATTCGGTATGTGGTTAGTAGTGTGGATAGTAAGGTCGGGAGACAGACGTACTCTCAACGTTCATTGTCTTTTAATACATTTCAGTTGACAAAGATGGCTTCCAATATTTTATCATTGAATAATGTCAACCGCACCTCATCAGCATTCCCACAAACCATTAAGTAAACACAATTACAAATCATGATATTTTCCATTTAAAATGTTTCATTTTTGTCTAAATTTGTTTTAAAAATAAATATAAGTGATTATTTCAATTTAATCGATATAATTTCTTTGCTTCTCCCAAAACCTGTCGTGAGTCAGCTACCCGGAGACGTGTGCAATATTTTCATTTAAATTTCTCAGCAGGTGCTTTATAATCAGTCCCAGGACGTATTGGTAGCTAGTTCCCTCGCCCGCCACTTTGACATGCTTGTTATCCGGGTAGTAGAATCTTTAAACGTCAATCGTTTACATTTTCAAAAAAAAAGTCGACACCGTCGCCATGCGTTGTCGCTTCGTGAAAACTCCAGCGTTATCTTACAGCCAAGTTTCCCTGCTATTGCTTGTAGGCTCATTTTAGTATCTGCCAATGCAGAAACGTTGTGCATACGGAGGAACATTGTAATTGTTGAATTAGTTCTTAAAAAAGAAAAGTTTATGTTATCCGCGAAAAGGTCAACAAGTATACAATATATTAAAAAATACACGAGCTTCACTTACCTAAAAACTGAGAGATTGTAACAAAATTTGCAGAGGGAGATTGTTACGTATTGCTAAATTCACGAATTATTAGTACTTAAATATACATAATTTTCCTTCAATTATGTTGCTATTTTTTTCTGGGATTCACTAGGTACCAGAATGACATTTATGTGGTTGTGATTACACATCAGTAATAATAAACAATATATTACCATTTTCGGACGTGACAGTTTTAACGGTGACAAATTCTCCGTACTCGCTCACAAGAATATTGCGAGCTCTTACCTGAAAAAACAAAAAAGTCAGCATTATTAATAATTTAATTAAGTCGGCGTTATTAATAATTTAATTAAGTCGGCGTTATTAATAATTTAATTAAGTTGGCGTTATTAATAATTTAATTAAGTCGGCATTATTTTGAATTATTCTCTCACTCACTGATGAAGTGACATCTTTAAGAAAAGAAAATTTGGCTACTTCCTTAGATTTGCATTTTTTTAAATCTACATTGGCCCTTTAAAAACGCGTCATATTTTCATTCGTTTGTAAAAAAAGTCTCTCTCATATATATATATATATATATATATATATATATATATGTATAAAGTGTCCCGTTTAACTTGATAACTTGAAATAACTCAAAAAATACGCGATGGTTAAAAATACGCGACGAAAAATTTACAGTATTAACAGTTTTAGTGGGGCAATTTTTCTGCGTTAAAATCAGCACTCCCTCCTGACCCCAGCGGGTGGGGCGGTGGGCAACATTGAAATCTTAAATACTAACTCCAATTTTTTATTCAGATTCGGATTCTACGGAGATGAAAAACGAAACTTTTCTCCGAAACTTTTTTTGATTTGTGATAGGTGGAGCTGTAATCGCAAAACTTTAATTTCCGACGATTTCCGACTGTAATTGGAGTGGTTTTGAGCGTGATCGATTATTTCTGAGTGGTTAATAAAAATCAGTATTTTCTACGGTAGTCAATAAATTACTTTTAGCGTAACCCAGGAACAACGACGTGGACGCAGTATTTTTCTGTTCCCTTCAGGGTGCTTGTTTTCCGTGAGTCTCCTTGCCTCTCACTATCGGGGTGCTGTTTTTAGATGATTCTACAAATACCTCAGCATTTATTTAAAGTGCACGAAATGATGAACCTGAACCTCAATGCATTTATTGATTCGTCCTACAAATGAACACATCGCATAAGCATATCTGCTGTAATCGCGGCACAAACGTCCCTTATGCGTTGCATCATATTTTCACGAGTAGTAGGTGTTTCTTTATAAACGACATCTTTTAGGTAACCCCACAAAAAGAAATCTGGTGACGTAAGGTCTGGTGATCCAACGATTATTGTAATCCCGATCCAATACCTCGCGTGCTACTAATGAGTAATGTGCTGGGCAACCATCATGTTGAAATCATATGTTTTGTCGCACTTCCAAACTTCGAGCATTTTCGGTAGTTCTTTATCAAGAAGGTTTCGTTACTTGTCACCATTTAGATTACCATGTTAATAAAGTACGGTCCGATAAGTTTATCGCCAATTATTCCACACCAAACGTTAACCGACCAAGATCACTGTTGATTTACGTGACGAATCAAGAGTGGGCTTTCTACACTCCAAAAATGCACGTTATGGCGGTTAACTTCACTGTGGTTGGTAAATGTCGATTCGTCAGAGAACAGTACTTGAGTAAAAAAGTTCGGATTCGTTTGCATTCTCTAAAGTGCCCATTGACAAAACTGAAGTTGGTTTTGAAAGTCATTGTCAGTTAATTCCTGATTCAAGGATACATGATAAGGATGAAATTTATGTATCTTCAGTATCCTCCAAATACTCATACGAGGAATCCCTAATTGTTGAGATATATCTCGAACACTCGCATGTGAATTATGAGCTACTGCAGCCAGTACTGATATTTGATTATTTTCTCCAGTGGCAGAAACTCTACGTGTTCTTTTCTGCGGTTGCACACTTCCGTCAGAAGAGAATTGTTGAACAATTCTAACGAAAGAAGAACGCGATCGTACTCTGTCAGGGAAAAGTTACGCATACAAATTAACAGAAGCGTCGAAATTTCTCCCAGCTTCGCCGTAAAAGAAAATCATTTAATTTTTGCTTTCACATTTACATAATCCACGGTGCAATAAGGAGGAATGTTAGTTCAGAAAGGTAAATGTTTAATAAATGTCGGATCGCCTCTAAAGTACTGTAGACACGGACCATGGAGAGACGCTATCAACAAATTGACGGGTGTGCCCTGAGGCCACACTCAAAACCACCCCAATTACAGTCGGAAATCTTTGGAAATTAAATTTTTGCGATTACAACCACTTATCACAAATCATAAAAAAGATGCATTGCGTATTTTTTGAGTTATTTCAAATTGTCAATTTAAACGGGACATCCTGTATATTTATATTCGTATAAAATGAGGATTATTTGTTTTTTGTTTACCAATTATTTTGAGATTTTTTAGAGAGAAGTTTCTAACACAATATGTCAAATATTTTTTTGGAAATGTCTGATGTGGATTTTTTGATTTAGACCCTTCGTGAGATCAACCGCAATTTTAGAAAGATCATATTGGGCTGAAGAAATATCTGTAGTTGGTGCATCAGTATTATCTTGAGTAAATACAAGTAATGGCTCGCGGCTAGCTCAGCGTGCTCGCTATCCGCTAGGCAGCCCCGGGTTCGATTCCCAAATAAACAAAGACTGGTGCGCGTTTTCCTTGAAATGCCCCAGAATATGTTGCTGTGCGACAATGAGAAAATTCACTTCTTATGTTGAGAAGACTGAAATACGGCGTGGGGATGTCTACGTGATAACCACACGTACTCCCTTACCCATGGCCGCGAGGCAGGGACGTCGCCGGTAGGCCTGAGCCCGTTCAGGGGCTGTCGCGCCAAGTACATGCATACAATATTAAATACTCCTAGAATTGTTTCTTTACCTTTTTATATAAAAAGAAAACTTTAGGTACATTTTCTTTAGTTGACTAAAGAGATCAAAACACTAAGTAGTACGAGAAAATCTTTACCATTTTGTAGTCTCACTTCTTTTAGGTATTTAATTAATGATACGTACATTTTGTTTGAAATTATTCACCCAATTTTAAGTGAATTATGACCATTAAAAAATTGAACAATATCTCCAAAACAGCTCCACTTTTCGTCCTTTCGTACAATGTTTTGCTCGAATAGTAATAAGGGCCTGGAAACCTATGCAAACCTTTGGATGGAAAATGTTAAACTTTCATATGCCAGCACTGTTGATATTTATCCATTGCGGTCGAATAATAGGTAAGAGGAAATATGTACGTTCCTGATTATTCATTTCGTACCTGATCCTTACACATGTCCGTACAAGTTCACGCCGTCGCTCGTCCCGATTTCATGCAATCTAGTTCAAATGTGGGAAAAGTTTGAAAGTGTTAAACCAATGTGTAACCATCAGTGCTGGCGCTAGGCTTGGGCAGACCGGGCGTCCGCCCTGGGCCTCACAAGTCAAGGGGACCGATGATGGAATAGATGAGGGAAAAAAAACAAAAAAACATTGATGCGGTAATTAGAACTTGAGAAATTCGTTATCGTAATTTTATAAGTCGTGATACAGTAGTCTGATATTTCGTATCATGTTCAATTAATTTTTTACCTTAAATAGTTAGAGAGTCATAATAAAACTCTATGGAATGTATCAAATGCGTTAACATTAAAATAGGATCTTCTGAAATCAATTTTTATTATTTCATATATTTATCAAGTGATTTTATTAAAGACTACACACTACACACTTTTTAGCGTTTAAGCTCACCGTGGAAAATGTATTATTTGATCACTAAATACTTTTACTTAAAACTATTATTTAAAATATATTTCCACAAACTTATTGTAGCTTAAATGTGTAATTTTTGTTATTTGTTGAAATAAAATAATTCTTAAATTTTCTTGATTCAAATTTCAGGTTTGTAATTTCTTGCAGATGGGGGGGGGGGCGAAGTTTCATTATCCCGAGCCCAAAATTATCTAGCTATGTAACCATTACAAACAACACGAGAGACTATGTACTGTAGCACCATTAGCTTTTTCTTTAAACATCCTATATCTATAACTTGTAAATAATACGTTACCGAAACAGAATATTGAGTGTTAGGAGACAAGCTGCTGATCGAATGGCAGAAAAGCTCAGGCCAGGGTATACACGGTACAGCTGGAACTCTTTTAGTGACTGCGTTATTACAGTCATTTGATGGACAGTAAGATACAGAGAACGACTCAAGTTCCCCGTAGGTGTTGGTTGGTTGAGCCCAACGCACACCTATTACTCGTCGCCCTCTTTTGTAAATTGATAGGTTCTGCACTGCATCTGGAACTATGTGAATCTATGAGCAATTACGGACTTCCAGGATTACTTAATGCTTGAAAATTTGCTTCGTCATCGTTTATGTTAACCAATTTCTCTTAAAATTTAAAAAGAGCATGCTTACCATTTGGTAAGAATTGTTTTCGACATTCACTGTGGAAGAAGTCCTCAAAAGATAATTTTTTAATGTGTGATAAACTTGAGACAATAAAGACGTCCAAAGATGTATAATATCTAAAATTACTGGTTACCGATTTTACCGAAAAGTAAATATTTCGAATTCTTGTTTGGGCCAGTTTTACAACTTGAGTATATTTTATACTATTTCTATGTTTTTTTCACCTTATTCATATATATGTGATGGTTTGCATATATTTTTGGCATTGTTCTATAAAATTCAATACGTTTTATTTGTTTGTTTTTCTTTCGAAACCAGCAAATCTACGAAATTTTTACTCAGATATTTAATTAGAAGCTTCTAGGAGAATTTAAAAAAGGAAAATTAAAAATGATTTTTGTTGAGATTTCTTGTAAAAAATATAAAATATCTCTGTGTGTTTATATATATTCCATAATTTCACAGAGATATTTATTTCATTATTTTGGGACAATTCGAAACCAAACTTCTCAAGCACAAATAAGTAATGTTGTGAAGTTCATTACCTGACGCTGCTGTTGAAGCATTTATAATTAATTGCTTATCTCTACTCCAGTCACCTGTAGAAATTGCATATATATGTACGAAATACGAAGCTTGAGGAGTAAGATTATCAAATGCAATGTGAGTGTTCGTTGTATTTCCAGTTGCAACAACTGTTCGGTTTTCAGAATAAAGCATATAACCATATCCAACAAGGTACCCATTTAGGAAGGTACAACTCTTCAAAGGCAACCATTGTACACTTATGGTGACATTTGTCGAAGTCACTATTGGTGTTTCACTCATTTCTGGAGCCGCATCTGGAGCTAAATTTAAAGAAATCCGTAAAGATAATGATTAAAAATAGTACTTAAACTGTTAAAAGTTTTGACATGGAAACAAAATATAATTTCTTTGAGTGCATGTTCATTATTTCTTTTTAAATATTAGCAAGGCAGGGAGTTTAATAACCTTTAATTTTTTAAAGTGATTGATATCAAATATTGCTTAAGTGTTTCCATTTTTTCTTAAGAACAGGATACTTTAGTTTATTTTTATTTGTAATTTTAATGGATATAATACCATTTCAAATACTAGTTTACTTTTTTCTGGGGATAAATGTCAACAAAAAATTATTGAAACATGAAGTGAAGCTTTTTGATCAAAACTTTAGATACTTGTAAAATTGTATTTGTCTAGTTTGAACATTTACTGTCGTTTGATTTGCACATTACCAGTGTCTTGTGTTACAGCCTTAAAAGATGTGTATGGTCCTAATATCCCAGATTTTGCAGCCACACTAATGTAGTATTGTGCGTGGGGTCGAAGGACTTCCAAGTCAGCGTAATTTTGATTTGCTGCTACTCGTATTTCCTTTGCATCTCTTGTACAAGATTCTTCACATGCCAAGAATCTAATGCACTGAAAGTAAAATTAAAACAAAATTAGATTACATGAAAGTGGCAACATTCATTTGTAAAATGACAAAACAATTTTTATAATTATTAGCTTAGAAGGAAAATAAAAAAAATATAAGTATTCATGAAATTATATAATATATTGCATTTCTTTTTTACCTTTCCGTCTGGAGAGGAGTAATGTTGAATATGTCTATTTATAATATAAGACGGTTTACATTGAATGTTAAAAATTTCTACAGCAAGAGGGAGGATCGGAGGTAATTACTTTTTGCAAATTAACTTAGGCTGCATTTGATTTCTTACACACGATCCCTTTTAAACACCCCGCCACTATTTGCTCGTCAACGCATTGTGCACAGCTGCTTATCAGGTACTAAAACTCGTCGGGAAGGGCGTACTGATGGGCAATGACGATTTTTTTATATCTTTATTGTTGAGCTCTGCTGAACCTGCAACGTCCTGAGCATGTCATTGACAGTGGGCAGGTCGTCCTTTGACAGAGCACTTTCCTAATACTAGTGTTGGATGAATTGCTTACCAATCAGGGGGGAGTTGAAATAATACCAGAGAGTTCGTTGGCGAGAAGTTATCTTCACCACCCACCCCCCACATGCCCTAGATGTTGTGACATTTATTCTGAATCAACGTACGTACCGTTATAATATTATGGCAATGAGTCAATTCAGTTTCAACCCGGTGAATTAATGATACCCATTATATATAAATAAGGCATAAAATAAGCAAACACAAAAACTGAATTTAAAAAAACTAGGTTGTACATGAGTGAAAGAAAGTTGATTAAGATATATAAATGTTATATGTTTAGTTATATAAATTATATAATACTTATAATTATGAAATCAGGTAAGATTCCTACCACAGGCGGTATTTAAAACAAAATACTCCAACGAGCGTAAAATAATTAAAGAAGCCCCTAATGGAAATATTCAATAGAATTATAAACGTAGAAAGAAAAGCACAGTAGTGTATCCAAAAAGTATTTCGGAGAAGAAATAGTCCATTTCAGTTCTGCGTCTAGGGGCGCTTGCGATCTATGCTTCTTATTTCTGTTGCAATACTCATTCGTCATCATCCATCCCAATGTCTAATTTTTTCTCATGTGATCTCGGTCGCTAATGGGTGCACTCTCCGATGGTTCCATTTCTCAACCGGCGCACGCCGTGGGGAGAAAAATTAATATTAACAATGTTACCTGATATTTCACCAAGTAGTACTGCAGAGAGCCTCCAGAAAACCTGGGTGGTTTCCAAGACACTCGCAATTTTCTAGAATCTCGTTCCGTGACTTGTAAATTAGAAACATGAAGAGGAGCTTTAAGAGAAGAAAACAAAATTATTTTGTGTAACAATATTCTTGAATTAATATAGTAAATTTTATTTCTGAGAAACAATTCTGAGTAGTTTATGAGTAATAATCATTGGCTAGACTCAAAATTAATTATTCAAACTCTTTTGATATGGGCAGAATATAAATGTCGGTTTAAAGAAAACTGATTAGTAGACACCTAAAAAAACTCCATGACGTATAATTGTTCAATACTATTATTTTGAATAAAATTTATAATAAATATCATATCCAAATTTAATCTAAAATACAAAATAACCAACTGTGAGAATGATGAAGCCTATTCCGACTCTCGTAACTTTGTTTCAAGTTCCAGGGAGAACTGCCTAACTTCTTGTGTCGATAATTTAACGACTAGGTTGCTAGGCTTACAAAACGTCAAATTATATTTGAATATTAAATGGTTAAATTTTTTCATCAATAAGTACTTTTTATATTGAATATTCAGAAATTCAAATTGCTGATAGAAAATAATTTACTGATACAGTACCTTCGTCAATCGTTTTAACAGAAAGAGGAGATGAAAAATGTGCATTTCCATATGCCGTATTTGCTTTAATTTTCACTTGATATGAAACTCCTGGCAGTAACGTGGAAAAGGTGAAACTTGTTTCGTGTCCAGACACATTTCTTTGCACTTTAACCACGTTCCTTTCCAGTACAATCGTGTATCCTGTTACTGGACAATCTGTTTTGTTGGTCTCGTACTGGAAATGATATTCAAAGTATCAATACAGAATGATCATTTTTTAAACGTTCAATTCTTCTGTGGGATAATTACCTTCCAAATTAAATCAATTCTTGATGACATCGATATGGCTTCAAGATTGTAGTTCATGGACGTAGGCACTGTTTAAAGAAATAATCAAAATAATTCAATTTAAATCTAATCATATTCAATGTTTAGAAATTAAAGTGGTATGTTTGTAATAGAAAATAATAACTCCGTTCGGATTCCATACGTAACGATACGCACGATTACAAACATATGAAAAAGTTATAGAAGATGTTGTCTTTGAATGCGTTTAAGAAGCGTGAAATAACAATTTAGTAACCTGTGAAAACTATTTTAACCCAATATTCAATTAAAAAACATTTGGAAATGTATTTTTTTTCAACGAAACTAATATGAAACGTAGTATTAATACTTTTTCGATTTGTGTTTGGTACGCACGTGCTAAAATTTTAAGATACAGAGTTTTATTCTAAGCGCGAGCTCTCTCTCCCTCTCGGCCTTTCCTCCTACAATTCCAAGGAGTAGGCAAAGAGATACCTGTGCAAAACGATGAGAAAGAAGTCGAAGGCACTGATTGCTGATAACTGTTTCCATCCTTGTCTATATAAATCACTCGCACTTCGTATTTAACACCTGGCAAAAGATTTGATATGTTTCTTCTAATCAGAGTATCCCTTACTTTTTGAGGCTGCAGCTCCGTCCAAACAGCTTCCTGAAAATGAGTATGACCTTGGCTTATAAATTATCTGCAATATCAATAACAAATGGTAATGAAGGAATACAGTATTTTTCTTTTACCAAATTCAATTGGGCGTTAAATTAATTATGAATGCCTTACTCTTCTGAATGGGTGGTGGAAGTAAAGGATAATGGAAACACCAAATCACTTACAAATACAAAAACACAGACAGAAATGTACTCTACTGCAAGAAACAATCTAGTGGTGCTGCATCAGCATACACTTCCCTTCATTATTCTAACTTTTGCAATTTTCGAAAATTCGGAGAGAAACTGAGATCTGAGCTTCTTTTAAACGTCCGAGAAAATATAATTTTAAAACTCAAATCCGTTTTTAATATTTGTACAATATTTTTCCTTTGCTCCAAGCAAACGTTTTGCGAAAATTATTACTAGGTTTTTTTACTTCTTACAAAAGTACTTAAAATGGAATTTGCACTATTTTTTCGTTCTATTTGATATCCGAGAGAAAAATTTAAATTAAAAAATTGAAAGGATATTTGCGAAAATCTTGCTTTTGAAATTGCCTATATTTCACGCAAAATCTATTCAAATTTATGAAAAAATATACATGGTTTAACATAGAGATGTCTTTAAAAATATTTTATTTCGAAATAATATCTTCAATATTCGAGCCATAGGAAGACATCGAAATGATTTTTAATTTTTGCTTACATAGTTTAGACGCATGCTTAAGTTTTAGAATTTTTAATAATGTTATAGCCTGATGTAAAGAACCACCGAAATTCAAAATGTCCATTTTGAATTCGCAGTGCCTTTATTTTGGACATCTCCACCTAAGAATGTCAATTTTGCAGAAAGTCGTCGCGATGGTTTAGGCGCTAGTGTTGTCCACAGACAGACGTTTTGTTTTCAAGGAATTTTCCGCATTACTCATCACGAAACGACGACACAACGTCTTAGGGAAGGTTGTTTTTGTATGTAAAAGGTTAAATTAATCTCTTTCTTTACGATTTAACTCTCGTCCGAGACATAACTTATAATACCAAAGAAGGCGCCGCGTGATCGTAGCGCTTCCTCTGAGGAAGATCGCAATGCGCAGCCGAAACATTGCCTCGGACGCGGCGTCACCAGAACACCCCCAGTATCTATTGAGTTTAGACGCATCAGCATACGTCCTCAAGAAGACAGATTTTTCCAACGTAAAAATTTACTGCTAGTAATAATTATTAATGCTAGTAATAACAAAGAAACTTGTACACATGCTACATAGATTACGCTAAAGCATTCGACACCGTGCCTCATTCTTGGCTCCTTCAATGTTTGGACTGGCCGCGGGCGGGGGTGCGGCCGAAAAATATCAAGAGCAAGATCCAGAAGTATACCATCTCGGCCCATGAAGTGCAGTCTCAGTGGAACTTCAGTTAACAGTGACAACTGTGCCTATTAATAATATCAGCTAGGGAGTTGATCCCGAAAAAATGACACTTCTGGCACTGGAGTGTCCTCATTGGATACCAGGAATGTATATATATGCAAAAGACAGTAATTTGAATACATGCCATATTGTCAGAAGCCATCTGAATCTGCAGTAAAGCAACCCACACACCTGGTCATTATACCTGTGTGTGATGAACATACGACCAGTAGTACTGTGAATATTGTAATGGTATAATAATAATAATAATTAATAATATTAAATAATAATAATAATAATATATTTCGCCAGACGTAAATCCGGCTTGTCCTTCGAAGGAGGCGCGGAGTTTACTGAT